AAGAAAGAAAGAAAGAAAGAAAGAAAGAAAGAAAGAAAGAAGTATATTGAGGCATACAGACTGGTAGAAAACCTAGACTTAAAGGTAAAAAGAGAGATGATCACATTTGCTCATGATAATAAATTACTTAGGGTGCTAGGAACAAAAGCGATTGTAAAGACCTTCAAAATTATCTGTCTAAACTAGGAGAATAGGCTTGAAAATGATAAATGAAAATTCAGTAAAACAAGTTAATGTCATGCATATGGGGCAAAATCCCAGCTTCACATATACATTCATTGGAATTGATCTGCAAGCAACTGACCAAGGGATCTAGTGGTTATGGTTGATATCTCTGAAAATATATGTGAGGCTGCTGTTTGAAAGAAAGAAAGAGAGAGAGAGAAAGAAAGAAAGAGGCAAATTTGAAGAACTTTACCTCTGGCTGTGATCTGGATTCTCCAGTAAGGACATGACAACAGCAATCATGGACCTTGAGGGAACTGCCAGGAGGAGGGCAAATTCTCCATCTGTTATCATTTAACCATCCTTAAATATCAAGACTTTTAAAAACACAATGTGTACTTAGAAGTCATCTGTGTATTCCCAAGTACAATCCCTCCTACTCCATCAGGCAACATTTTCCTGTATTTTTAATTGCACACTCATATCAACAATGACAATATATTAAATCATGACTAATCCAGGAACTTAATGTCTGGACTAGAGTTACAGTAACAAATAAGGACACATTTGAGTAATCTAACAGTTTCTTTTTACAAAGTAGCATTACAGAATTTGAAAACCATTACACAGAGTACATTGTGCAATCAGAGCAACCCAGTCCAGGAACAGACCAGTGCAGACCAATTCTAATTGGGAATAAGCGTTCCTTGTCACTGAGGTCATTGGTGACCTCAATGACAGCTTCCAGTGACATCTTTAAATAGAAAACTATTATCAATTTGATATTTACTCTGCCCAGGGAAGTGCTATGCTATCCAAAACAGACTGTCTTTTCAGTTCCTGGATCTGAGAATTTCCTATTTAGTTGCAATTTGTTAGTCTTCATCAGCCCATTTGTCCAGCACCTGTACCATTTCTCCCTATTCAGATGGAGTCATCTGCATCTTGATGACACCATGCTTCAAGTGCCCAGATAACTCTTTTGAATAGCTTTATACAGAAGTTAAATAGCATGGGAGACCAGATGGAGCTTTACACTGTAACTGCCATGGAGTTGGGAAGAAACCTGATAACAACCCTGAGTCATTACAGTGCCTTCTCAGTCCAAGAGGGTACTATGGTCAATAGTGTCAAAGCCACTGTGAGGTCAAGGAGAATCAGCAGGGTAGGGTTCCCCAATTTCTCTGCCAAAGATTGTCACCAATCAGCACAACCAGACCCATTTCTCTACTGTGTTGGTATGTGAAACCAGATTTAAATAGGTCTAAACAATCTGCTTCATCAAAGAACATCTGCAAGTCATCTAACACCATCTTCTGAATCATCTTGCCTAGAAACTGAATATTTGCATCTAGGTGGTTATGATCTAACCCAGGGGTCCCCACACTTTTTGAGCCAGGGGCCAGTTCGCTGGCCCCCAGATCTTGTGAGGGCCTGAGGTGCGCGCATGTGCAGTACTGGTGCCCCGCGGTTCAGCCCATGGGCCGTAGTTTGAGAACCCCTGATCTAACCCTTCTGCATCCAGGGAGAGCACCAGTACATCCTTTAAAGCAGCTGAAACAATACCTTCCCATAATAAGCCACTTATCACTCAGAGATCCACCTAATCAACATATTTCTACTGGATTTCATCAGCCAAGAAGGCAAAAGATGAAGGAAGCATATGCACTAACAAATACCCTGTCCACATTCTCAGGCCACAGTAACCGAAATGGATTCAGTAACCCAACATTGGTACCAGCAGTCTCTGAAGACTTCCACAGGACCAGGCACATTTGTGGAGTCCAGTTTGATAAGAATGTGACTAGTTTTGGTCACACAAAGATTGTAAGCCTGAGGGCAAGGAACCATCTAATTAACCATTTATAAGGTGCTGTAAGATCCTTTGTGGCTGAAGAGTCAAGATATAAATACCCCAAATATAATAAATTAAATATTCTGCAAAGCTATCACAGATATCATCAAAGAGCCCAGCTTGTTCTATTCCTTGATTATATCTGATCAATCCAGTCATGATCCAGAAAAGCTCCATGGCATGAATCACTAAGGATACAATGGTAACAAATTGGGGGAAAGATGGGTATTATTTGTCCTGTTCACCAAACACCCACACTGGCTGGGTGGCTGGGAAGGAACTACCAAGTATAATGCAGACAGAAACAGTGAGTTACAAACAACTTCAAAGTGCCCTTGGCTATATGAGAGTCCGTCAATAGAAAGGCATTGGTCAAGCTGCCCGAGTTAAGGGAGACAACAAGAATCAAGCTCAACATGGTCCAAAGACTGAAGAAGCCAGGAAGTCTGAGGTAGGAATGCAGGAGTCTAGAAACAAGTATCAGGGACAAGCATGCTGGCCAGAAACACATGAGTTGCTTCCAGCAACTCCTTAGACAAACTCAGCTTTTAAATAGCCTGACACCAATTGGTTCTAATCAGAGCTTGCTGCTTACATGTAGCCTAGCTGAGTGCCTTAGCTCTATCTTTTGTTAGATCCTTTTGTTCCTCATCCTTGATTGAGGACTTAAGACTGCAGCTGTGTCCTCTGTCTCATCAGCAGGTGAGTCTTGCTGCAATTCCACAGGATGAGCTGGCTGAAGCTCTTTAGCAGAGAGGGCTGGTTGCTCTGCAACAGGGAGAGCTGCAGGCTGTTCTCTGTCTGGAAAATTTGCCTGGATCCATTCCTTAGCCTCCTCAATAGACATTTCCTCCAGGTCCCAGTCCTGCAGCTCCTGGCCCATGACATTATTATTGTTATTTCCTGACAAATCTCTGGCAGCTACTCCCTTAGGTAAGTCACATCCTGCACTTTGTACATTAACGTTGTTATAGATCCATGTTGGTGAACCTATGGCATGTGTGCCAAAGATGATATGTGAAGCCATTTTTCCTGGCACACGGATTGGGGAAGAGGAGGAACAGGTATGCACCTGTTCCTCCTTCTCTTCCTGGCCATCCCAGGCCTTCAGCTGCCTTCAGAAAGGCAGCTGAAGGCCTGGGAAGGTGTGGGGAAAGAGGAGGAATAGGTGCACTCCTGTTTCTCCTCCTCCTCCTGGGACAGGCAGCTGAAGGCCCCGGAAAGTGTGGGTGGTGGAAAGAAGTCCTGCCCCAGAAGTCCTGCCCCCATAGGGTAGATGTTCCATCCCAGAAGTCCCATTCTCCCAGTGCCAGAAGGCCATTTGGTCTGGGCACCTAAAAGGTTCACTATCAATGCTGTAGATACTTCTCAGTCAAATCTCTTTGGTATCTCCAAGCGTCAAATCAATAAGCTGAGCTGTTTCTTGAGTATAAGCTGTAAGGCATACTTTTCCAATCCTCTTCCCCATTTCTAGTTATAATGGCCAATAGAATTCATCCAGCTCACCATAGGGTCATGCCTGTGGCCCTGCAAATAGTTAACACAGTGAAAATCCAATTCCTTAATGACACTATGTAGTGTGCTTCATAAGCTTTGCATTTCACAGTGCATTCATGGGATATAACAGCCTT